CGGCTAAATTCGCCATTCATGTTTCCTAATGGATTAGAATCGCCTCCAGAAACAGACCGAATAATTGATTCAGAAATAGCGCATTCTACAGGTGAACTATTAGAAGATGAGTCCGCTAAATGCTGTGAGATCTGTGGCCTAAGGTATTCAGGACAGGCAAATGTGGTTGGTGATACAGTTTGTGAAGATGAAGTAGATGTCGTCGGAACTGAAGAATACGGCGGTGTTGAAGTACAAAACGAATCTGATTTGTCAGTTACTGTTGGTTTTTGAGGAAAAGCGAGTTCTGAAGTAAGACTAAACGGCGATAGACTCCTAACCGAATGATCGCTAGACTGGTCAGAGTAACCGCTTGAAGAGTTATGAATATCGATGAGCGTTGGATCCCGCTGCTGTCGATAAAACTGATGAGCCGAACTTGAGGGTAGTGCAAACTGTTGCTGCTGGTTCGTCAAATAAGTCTGGCGCAAATATGAATCGTTTGGAAAACCCTGATAACCGGTGTACCTTGGAGCATGCAAGCCAGATAATGGGTTAGCGAAAGAGGAGAGATAGGCCTCATTGGCAGAGGAATAACAAAAATTTGAGTCAATTGAGGCTTCTGAAGTGGGAAAATAAGACGAGGAGTCATATTTAGAGGAAAGGGAATCACATCGCATTTGTTGTCGATAGCGGAGAAGCGGTTGCGGTTGTCGCAACAAGTGCTCTTGGTGTCTTCGAAGGGAATAGCGATCCATTATAGGCTGTTGGCTTGTAAAGGGATGACATGGCATCTGAGCTCTAAAGCAGCTTGAAGTTGGACCAGAAGGTAAATATTGATGCGGCAGGAAACGGGGTGTAAAGTGTCCTGAATCACTTGATGACTGAGCATCTCGCGTATGGGCTATGTGTGTAAAAGTAGATGGCAAAGGACATCGACGACAAGGAATAGACGACTGAATAGGGTAGTTGCTAGGTCCTCCAGAATCAAAACCCTGATTACGGTCCTGGTAAGGGTCAGATAGAGGGGAAGATGGTAGGAGAGAGCAGTGATCAGCATAATAGTGAGACTTTGAAATACTGTCGCTAGCATGAACTGGAGGAGCCTGAGGCCTGGAATTATTAGGCCGAGTTGTTGCTAGTTCCGAATAGGTTGTTGAAGAGACAACAGGAGGCGATTTTAGTGCATTCGGCAAAATAGGGAGCCTAATTGAAGCAAAAGATGTGGGGGGTAGGGTGGTGGGAGGTTTTGAAGAGTAATCAAGATGACCATTGATCATCTTGTCAGTTGAAATTAGCGGCAATGCTGTAGAAATGGAGTGAAGCTCACTAGAAGATTGAGAAGGGCGAATGTTTCGGGAGGGCATCATAAGCCTCGAAGTAGACAAAGAAGTAACAAACTCTGATGAGGTAATATCGTCACCAGCCTTAACGTTACCTATTGGGCATGGACAAGTTGGAAAGACAGTAGAGCGTGATCTAAGCACTGGTAGCTGATCAGATACACTAGGTAAGGATAGTGACGAAGGGTGGCCAGAGGGCGAGTATTGCATAGGTGTGGCGTTAAGCGTCTCTCCTAGACTCAGGCTAGGAGTGTTGGCCAACTCGTAGGTGCCCAGGTTTGAAA